ACCGCTCTTAGTCTGACCCGTCACCCAGGACCTGTTTGCCGTGGGAGACCCTACCAGGGACATATAGCCCCCAACAACATAGCTCCTAGGATCACTCGGGTACTCAAACCCCTCCACCACAATAAGGTGGTGGTTCAAGGAGGGGACTATGTTAATCATCTCAAGGAAATTTATGCCATTTCTCTTGTCTCGGCTGCCTCTTTTGTTGTGAAACGACAACAATAAGACTCCATCTCACTTCATTTGCAGTTACACCTGTGGTTGTGGGTCATTTCAATTTCAAGGCCACTATCTTCACTTACTGTGCATAGGCAGTCTCTCCAGACTGGAAAGCATTAGCCTTGAGGTCTGCCGCTTTCAGTAAGACTCACTCTCGGTGTCGGTATTATAAGCTTTCCAAAATGAGGTCAGTGAGCTCCTCTAATAGAAATGGAATTCAATATTGGAGCTATTTCTGTCTCATGGGAAGTATTTTTAGCTTCTCTTGTTATATTCTGTTCTGTGTGTTACAGTTGTTTTTCTGTCTTTGTCTCGTTTTGTGTTTTCCCTCCCTGGCTCTCTTTCTGACCAAGGGTGAGATGTTCACACATACAGATACAAAGTAGCTGACTGTATCTGGCCTTTGGCAAATCTCTAGTTCTGGAGGGTGCGTTGTGTTGAGAATGTCATACTCTGCTCCAACTGGACAGTTATTGTTCTTTGTTTTTATGTTCCAGTAACTAGTTAAAGACATTCATTCATAACTTGACAGCACTCAGATAGCACAAACCTCGACCAAGGCAGTTTACTGTCCCCATAATGCCATTCCACCTAAAAGCAATATTCCCATGTTAGTTTGACCCTCATAATATGACCTGCCGCATTTGGAATCACATTGATATCATTATTAGGTTGAAAGTTATCAAAGTAAAATGATACTTCAGTAATGGCAGTTTTCTTCAGGATCTAACTCAGTAACTTTTGAAGATACATCAGATATGTTGACCCTCTATTGAATCAGTAGAGGTTTAGCTATAATTTGATCTTAGTAACAGGTCTGTAACATTATTTTTTGTTTCACAGTAATTATGTTTTTCAAGTGCCCTATAAATTTGAATGTTGTGGATCAGCAAATTGGAGTTCTAGCCAGCGTGTGGAGTTAGAAGCAAAAATATTGAAATTGGTCCTATCTCACAGTGGTGGCAAATGTTTTAAAAACTCCTGGATCCAGGTGATGATTTGGATCAGCATCAAAACCTAATGGATTGTTCCATGAACCAAACCTCTCCAAAAAAAAAACCTAATCAAAAACCATTTATTATTTTTTGCGTTACACTGTTAACAAACCAACCAATACGAGTGAAAACATTACCTCCACCAAGTTGGAGGTAATGTTTTTACCTCCTACACTGTTTTCGAGGAATCTGCAGTTCCTTGAATGGCCACTTGAGGATGGCTCCATAAGGGAGTCAATCCCCATAGAGTCCTGTCTTAAAATGGCCAAATGTACAGCAAAAATAAAAATGTTTACCGCCTGTAAAAAAAAAACGTTTTGGTCTGTTAAGCTAAGTTCCCCTTCCATGACAATTGTACAGGGGGTGAATTCTTTTATAACTTGCCCATTTAAATTATATTGAGACTAAAAGTTATGCACAATTAAGAGCATGGCCACTTTGAGTGACAGGCAGGAGGGTCCCGCCATAGGTGGCTGGCTGCTAGCTGTCTAATGAGCTCCACGCAGGCTCAGCCTCATAGCCCATTCTTAGTTTAGATGTAGCAGGCAGAGTGCTGCGCGACAGCTAGACTTCAAAACTGCTCTTCAGAAAATCAGTGGGTTTGTCCAGCTTTTATATACAGTGAATGCACTATTAGCAGCAGCAAGGACTGCATTACAGAGAGTAGTTTTTGGGATCTTAGAGTACTCTAAACCTTTCTTAACATCTTCTCTGTCTTACAGCCTCATCGGTGTGAGCGGTGCCCACAGACGTTTAATGTGGAGTTCAACCTCATGCTTCACAAGTCCACACACACAACCTCTGACTTCACCTGCCCTGTTTGTAACAAAAAGTTCTCCCGCATTGCCAGCCTCAAATCCCATATCATGCTGCATGAGAAGGAGGAGGTGAGTGAACTCACCGATCAAACATAAAACCATCATGATTTGCATTTACTCCCTGTTAGGAAGAACTTTATTTTTGTGTTTTGTCTTCTTGTCTCTTCACTTTGTGACAACTCCTGCAGAATTTGATCTGTGCAGAGTGTGGAGATGAGTTTGTTCTTCAGAGCCAGCTGTCTCTGCACTTGGAGGAGCACCGTAAGGAGCTGTCGGGCATCAAGGTCTTCACCTGTAAGACCTGTAACAAGGAGTTTAAGACATCTGTACACCTCAAGGACCACATGAAGAGTCACGTCAAGATGAGGTCAGCCAAGGCTCCAGACAATAACGTATTACATTTGACCAAGTTAGCCCGAAAATAGCTTGAAGTTAAAAGGGACGCATGCTGTGTGTATATACAGGTCTCTATTTATAAGTACTTTATTTTTATTTGTGTCTTTTTTCCTAATGCACATTCCTTTTGCTTGTTTGCACATTACTTTCTTTCCTTTCTGTTCTCTCTGCCTTATATTGTTTACTTGACCATTGCTGCCTTACTTAAGGACATGTGCAAACACATTGAGAGCCACTGTACCAGTCAGATTCCTTGTGTGTCCAACACACATGGCCAATAAAGCTGATTCTGACTCTGAATCCAACAGCTATCCAAAGGAATTATGATCTTTTTCAAGAACATTTATAGTCTAAAGTCTACCACTGTGATAGACCGTAGCCACCCACAGTTATTATTTTATATTACATGTCAATTTGTTTTTATCAATGTTAAATAAATTACAATGATACAAAGCAGGTGAGCTGTGGAGGCTGAGGGGCATCTAATCTGCCTTCAGACTATCAAAAGCTGCTAAAGCTTTCTAGTCAAAAACCAATCTCCTGACTTTCTTTTAGGTTGGGTAGCAGCTTTGTCAGGGAGAGTTAAGAAGGTTTCATTGCAAATTTTACTGAATGACACCCATGAAACATTTGCAAAATCCTCTATCATGGTGCATCAAGTTTTCTCAGAATATTTTGAAGGTGAAAAATATGAAGTAGCTGTTGTCCAGGATGATCATATTGCATTAATGTCTGAGGATTCCTGTGTGCTCACTGTAGTTCAAATTCACCAGAAGGAACAGTGTCATTGTAAATGTGCTGACCCTAACCCAACAGTTAATTTGCCCTTGTAGCCCCAACATATCCAAGTTGTATTTTTTAGATACTAAATTTAACACTGATAGTGAGAGAGATAAGAAACTGGAGTCCTAGCAGTCCTAAACGAACGATGTAATCAGACAAATACAAAACACTAGAAACAAGTACATTTATAAAAACATCAGCTCTTTAATGACTATGTATCCAAATAGATTTTTAACTTTGTATTTAAATGTGCTTTATATTCACTTCCACTTCTTTTCCTTTATGCCAAAAGAGGAATAATTAAGTTTTTTTTTAATTTTCATAGTGTTTTAGCCAAATTTTGTTACATTTGTCATACAATACCATATAGTAATCCACTATTGTGCTGTCTAATCTTGTACAGTATCATATTTAGAGCAAAGTTACTTTTTTCAGTTTACTTTCATTTGTTTTATCACACCAGACTGCTTGGAAACAGTGTAAAACACCTGACTGTGGATTATGTTTAATGCTTTGTGTTGTCACAGTGTCAGTTGCACCTCGTTGCTGTTTCACAGTGAACAAGCTGCTACAAGGCATGAAAAGGATTTGTGCATTAGAACGGTTCCAATCACACAAGCAGTTTGTCTTTACCTTTTAAAGAAGGGTTGCAAAGAAAATCCGGCTGTGGTTTTTATAATCATCTGCAGTCCTCTGTATATGTTGTATACAAAACAATTCTTTTTGGGTTTATTCCTTCCGCAGGTCACTCACCTCAAGTTCCAGAAACTACAAGAAAAATATCGATCGCAGTGGCTTCACAAACAGCTGCCATCACTGTGGAAAGGCTTTCAAAAAGCCCAGCCAGCTTGTCAGACACATACGAATACACACAGGTGAGTGAAAAGCACAGATATGGGGATGAAGTGGAGGTTACAGAGATCAGGCGTCGGTGGACACCGGTGCTATAGATTGTAATTGGTGAAGCCTGTTGTTCCAGCGCCATAGATCACAGGTGCAGCAGGAGACTTTTCTTTTGTGAGGATGGTGTTGGTACATAAAGGAGAATCATCAGTTTTCCTTCTTGGTATCTGTTTAATAGCCCCCTCATTTAATTCTAGGCAGATTATAACTGAAGCAGCACATTGGAAACTGGGTTTCTTCCATTATCTGACTCTGAAGTAACACTACCAACTCCATGTTGTGTTTACACTCCATTTCTGAGGCACTGTACACCTCAGCTCAGTTCATCACTCCGCTGTCAAACAGAGATGCCGTGTGGGTAGAGTTTCAATATGCTGCTTAAATTCTAATATTCTTCTTTGGCTCTGCAGTTGTTCAGCTGCCTGAGTTCTGGTGATGTAACCAGTAGCTTCCACCCACATGTTGTTTACACATCATCCACATATTAATATGTTTATTTGGCTGGCTGGCTGGATGACTAACAGTGGATGTGCTTTGAATCATAAACAGCCCTTAAACTGATGAGGTGAGCCGTCGTTTTGAGAGATCGCTCACACACGCATTAGGCCTCTATTCTCTCACTGTCTCTGACGCACAGTGAAGATACAAACCTGTATTCAACTCCTCTTCCTTAATGAAATAATCAAAGAGATGGATGGCCTTCTGCCGGGTCCACGGTGACAAACTTGACTAGTCATACATAATCAGGTGTTTTAATTTGTCAGTGATGTTTCAGGTAGAATTATTATGAAAATACACTTAGTGGATATGAAGATGGACCCAAGGTGCTGTGTGTTCATTTTAGTAAAATACAAACCTTTGATTCAGAAGTTAAAAATAAATCCTTCTGGTTGAAAGAACTCAGTGTTTTACTGATCAGTTGATGTAACTGGCCTCAAAAGCTGCTTTAAAGTAACAATATGTCTTAGGTTTAAATTGACAATAGGCAAAACAGATTGAGGCTATGTGAATAGTATAAGAGTTTAATTCTTCTTGCAGCAAGGGAGCATTCAGTACAATATGGTTGCATGAAGGAAATGCTCAGAGAGGCGTTCTCTCTGAGGGTCATTTATACAGTCAGACTTAACAGTCGTGGCAGGATCTGCATCATCGCTGGCTCCTTGAACAGATATGTGTGTATCTCTGCAGTCTGACTGCTTATGAGAACTGAGTTGGTGTAAGCACACAACAGCAAAATACAATCAGTAAATACATACGGTATCTATTCTAGATCTACTGTTTACTCTTTGCAAGTACAGAACCTATAATAATTGAACTGTGGGTCACTTGATGTTACTGTCCCTTGATAAACATTTTTCCAACAATATGTAACTTTTTAAATATTAAAATGAAAGTTTCTAAATCATTTTGATTGCAGACATAAGGTCTAATAAGGTGAATGACAGCTCTCCTATTGCCTCTGCATGCCCGGATTGTCTGTTACTGCACTATGTAACTTTTGGTCAGCGTCTCTGACACCTCGTGTGATAGCTGTTGTTTGCTTTATGGCACCAATCCTGTCCGCTAGCTCAGTATTCTCACATGCGGAGTCAAACTCTAGGCCTTTATTGCCTTTTTGTCAGGCGAGAACATGACCATTGAGATTGTGAATATGTAGTCAGTCTATCCAAGCAATTGGAAATTTGCTCTGATGTTTTCAGAGCTGTGGCTGCTCCTTACTGGACCAAGCTAGCTCTGTGATCAGGCAGCTACATCTTGTCCAGAGTAGTCTGTCAGTGAGGGTGCCAGTTTTCCAGTTGCACATTAAGAGCACTGCGTCCTCCGATGCCAATGAGTTTAGACTAAAGTTCAGACTTACTAACTTCCTACCATCACCTACTGCGACTGTGAATAAGCTGTGCAACAGGACATGGATTAAAGCACACACCTAGTAATATGTAGCACTGCGTACAATCAGAAGACATCTGTCCCATAGACATACGTTTATATGGCTACGATCTGTCCAGCCAAAGCATGTAAAAAAAAAAAAAAGTCAAAACACAACACATCCCCAGAACTACAGCATCAGCTGATCCCAGCAACAGCCAAGAATAAGAACAAAAGAGGGAGCAAGAGACTGGACAAGAGGAAATATCAGACTGGATTTTACTCACTGGTGAGAGCTAAAAATAACCCTGTCAGGGTGACTGTTAATATCATGACGTGGGCTATAGAGATCTACTAACACGAAAACAGCAACGCCGCAACAGCAGAGTGTACTTCTCTGAAATACTCCATGGTAGGCTGAACCATGTCAATGTCATCCTGTCTCACGGAGATTTGTAGACTTTTTCCAGGTGTAAAAAGTCACCCACCTCCATCCCAGAAATAAATAAATTCATCTTGTGACAGAAAGTTTGGTCAGACTTTGTCACTGTCAGGCCAAAACACCCTTTGAAATTTGCAGCTAGCTTGTAATAATTTACACTGGTCTATTATGTGCAATATGAGCCTATATCGTGTCAGCAAGAATGTTTAATTCCATTACACATTCACATTCAAACGCTTAGCAAACAATCTGAAAATACAAGCAGTATTTCAGTAAAACTAAAAACACTGACGTTATTTGTTTTTCTTTTTGTTATGACTGTTCATCTTCGATGTCACAATAAATAAGCAATAAATCCTGTAATATTACTTTACCCTTGTTTTGTTGTTTGTCACGGTTCAGTAAACAAATGCACACGTACTGCTGTCTATGAGGAAGAGGAGTGAAAGCTCAACTAGTGTTTATGACAGTTGGGTACAACTCAGTTACACTCAGCAACTGTAGGGAGAGACACACTGCCAAGTTATGTATTGGTGCTTTAAGCAATGTGATTTTAACATCAGACAGTAATAAGTTATGATACTACCCTTCAGGTGAAAGGCCCTACAAGTGCACCCATTGTGGCAAGGCATTCAACCAGAAGGTGGTGCTGCAGACTCACATGGTGAGACACACTGGAGAGAAACCTCACCTCTGCATGTTCTGCCCTGCGTCTTTCTCCCAGAAGGGGAATCTGCACTCTCATGTTCAGAGAGTTCATTCTGAGGTAAGAGCAAAGCATTGCAGGCTCAAATACTTTGTTTTCTCACCTCAAATGCTGCATAGGAAATATCCCTCTGTCATGTGATAGTTAATTTAACTTTTGGGGGCATTTTTGATGAGATGCACCTTGTCCTCATTTATGTTACAACCCAGCTTGTTGGCAAAAAGGGAAGCAACATAAGTACTCAGGTGTAAAAAAGGTTAAGCGACGTTATTTAAATAAGTGGAGCGTTTTTACAAGAATAAAGGCACTAGGCAAAAACTGTAGCTCAGTTATTTCATGGACCAACTATCAATACACCACCTTTATTGTAAGATTTTTGTGAGGAAATAGTCGGTGAGTAGTTTAGTACAAGTGCAAAAGCAAAATCAAGGACGAGGCAGTGAGCAGGCAGATCCAAGTGCCTGTGGGCCTGTGTCACACCCATGTTAAGAGACTTCCAATGGGCTAAGTAGTTTGAAATGAGTGATTTTACTGTTGGGTTCCACTGGTGATAGAAATGAGCTGTAGCTCCCTGTAATGTACATTTAGTTTCCTCTTGTTTTTATAGTGACAGAACATCTTTTATCCATGACTTAAATGTGTGTGTGTGTGTGTGTGTGTGTGGAGGTGGGTGATTTACATAGATTATGTTTTGCGTTTTTTTCCTTTAGGTTTTGTGGGTTTTATTATCTGCAATAGACAGAGGAGACAGAGAATTTTACACTAAAATATATATTTTTTTTTTGTTCAAGAAGTGAAAAACTGATCCCAGATGTGTTGTTATTTGTATTTCGTTATGAATTGTTTTTTATTTGGGACATTTTATGAAATACCTGTTAGAAATGTGAGATTAAGGATTTTGAGACTGGACAGTTGATTAATCGGTTTGATTTAATTGGAGATGTATACTGTTTATACAGAACTATTGCAGAGTTGTTTTATTCAAAGGGAAATTAGCACCAATACACCTTAAATTGAACAACGTTCTTAACGCGTTTCATTTGTGCGTGGCATGGCTCAGCTGCACAAGTGAATAAAACAGTATGTGTCAAAATCAGGCAGTGCTTTTCTCCCTCAACTAACAAGAAACCACAAAGTAAATCTCCCTGAGAGAGTCAGGTCTGTTAAATGGTTAAGTTAAGGACGCGTTCATTCATTTGAAATGTTAATACAGCTGTTCATTATACTGAGGAGACGTCAGCTACTTTAACTAGGCTTAGCAGTTTTTGGCAATTCAGTGTCATTTTTGTGCTCCTCCTTCACTCACACACTAAATTACCAGCCCTTCTGTTCACTGCTTGTTTGCCGCTGGGCACCTTGTTGTTATGTTTGTGTGTTGGAAAGGGAATAAGGTGAAATTGCAGCTTTTGCTTCATTATTTTGTTCTACTCCTCAGTAAGCACACAGCAGCCAATTCTGAAAGCCCCCTGATTTATCTGTCCTCATTTAGCCTGGACTTTGGTCTCTGCTTTGTCACAGAGGTCACTTCCTCTTAGTGCCCAACCACGGTTGGTAGGCCAGGTGGACTGCATATCAAAGGCACCCAAGCATTGTGTTGACAGATGCTGAATCTGCTTGTGTGACTGTCCATTTGTGTGGGTTTTTACCAAAGCCCATTAGTGGGTGGAGTGCTAGTGGTGGTAGAGGCTCCTGGTTGATGACTGCTTCCAATAATGTGGCTATAGCCTGTGGGTCAGCTTTTTGGCAGCCTGATTGTTAAACCAGCACAATGGTCTTTATCACAGGAAATGCAGTGGGTCTCCACTCAGTGGATATGCCACAATGCTCAGTTCTAGTGCATTTGAGCAGAAATGTAGCAAAAACTTGAAGTATAAAAAGCACTTTGTGCTTGCACATCAGGCTCCACACTGATTAGCTTCACTGTGGTGATCAACGGAGAAGTGAATTTAGCTGGAATTTTACCACAGTTAGGCTATAGTTTCTGAAACAAGGTAGCTAAGAGTTACAGGGAGAGTGGGCCTCATTCATATCTTATGGCAGTTTGTTTATCACATGATTTCATTCCTCAGGAGGGAATTACTCCTTTAGTTTGGTTTATGGTAGCAGCTAAAATCATTCAAATGTGGACGGTACCAAATCAGCACACTGAGCTATCTAAAATACAGTCTCGGTTCTTTGAATTGAAATCGTGATCTGAACTAACTACAGAAAACTGTCTCAAAGTGCTCAAAGAGCTTTCTGGGAATAAGGACATAGATGTTCACATCAGATAAGCAGGTAAATTAAGCTGCTTGTGAGTCCTTTTGACTTGTGTGTTTTTTTATATATAGCTCGAAGATGCACTATATACATATTAACACCACATACAGCTAACATCCAATAGGCAGTATGAACCAAAACAGAGACTATATACAGAATGCAGCCAAGAACATTTTTTAATACCACTACAATAGTTGAAAACTCACAAGAGGAATTTAAAAATGTCATTTTCAATGGAAAGCATAAAAAATAGATTAAGAGATGTCAATGTCTCTTAGGGGTTATGGTATTTGAATTTATAGTTGCTATATAATTATCTAGATATATGCAGTTTACAAACTACTTTCAAGTTACTCTGACAAAAATACAGGAAATTGATGCAACCAAACACACATATCCACACTTCTTTTTTGTTTGTGGGGGTGTTTTAATAACAGCTAAATTAATGGGAGTGTGATTAAAGCCCTCACATTAATTTGCTGTGGTGAGCAGTTACTACCAGTAAGTATTTGATGGATGGATTTGTCCTGTTCCATGTGTTCCAGTCCATCTGGAACCAGACGTATGTATTTGCGTGCAATTTTACGTGATCCTTTTCTTTAAGCGGTTCAATCAGTCAAATGGCACACTGATTTAATTTCCAACACTTCTCTTGCATTTCCTCTTTGCCTTTTTTAGTTTTTATCTATCCCTGACTAACATGGTTGTGGATTTCATGCTAAAAGCCTGTGATGGCGGAGGTAGATTGAATTATGTCTGGAAAGCCAAACAGCAGGACCATTTGAATAATGCATCTAATAAATTCTAAGTTAGAGTTTGTGATTGGCTGACAGAGAAAATAAATTATTGTAATCCATTATTTGCAACTGAGTTACTGTGCAGATGCACACTAAGGAGCCAGGGGAGTGAACTCATCATGGTTAAATGGCCATGTAGGGTGTAGGCATAGTCATAGAGATAGTAATAGTATATGTATTTGAATGCCATCTAAAACCTTTGCTTATCCCAGATTGAGGTTCATTAATCTAAAACCTGAGCTGTTGTTGCTATATTTATTTTTGAGAGATGGTGGTGTGTGGGTTTATAACACAGTAATTCACAATTTGAATTTTATATGTAACATCACGCCACTCCAGTGAATTTATGGCACTTGAATTTGAATGTCATAGAAGTGTAAATCGCTAAGCTCCCTCAACACACTGCATCTCAAAAAGCAATATAAAGATAAAGTAATGCATTTAGGGTGGCAAAGTGCATGGTGGTGAGTTTGCATGTTCTCCCTGTGCCTGCGTGGGTACTCCGGCTTCCTCCCACAGTCCAAAGGCATACAGCTTAGTTTGATTGGTCATTCTAAAGTGCCTCTAGGAGTGAGTGTGAGTGTGTAGGGTTGTTTGTCTACATGGCAGCCCTGTGATAGACTGGTGACCTGTCCAGGGTGGACCCCACCTCTCACCCAGTGTCAGCTGGGAGTGGCTCCAGCCCCCTCCAGGACATCTGCACCCACTACACCATTTGGGTTTGAACCTCTCTCTCTAGCTCTTTTTTCATTCTTGACAACTATTTCTGTCGCTGTTCATGTGTACAACCGTGTGCAACACCATGACTGTTTTCTAGGGAGAGAATGTATAAAAAGGTGCCCTGTTGTCCCCAAATGGTTCAACATCTCCCTCCTCTCTGTAACAGCCGGCTTTTCACCACACCTTTGCATTTAGCCTTTTCGAACAACTTACACACACTTTTGATTTCTGACATTGTAGAAGTATACCTTACCAATACACTGTAACATCTACAGACCCTTCAGTGCTTCCCAGCCATCTTCAGTAACTGCTTTCAGTTCTTAAGCCATAATCATGTTCCAGGATAGCTGCAGACCTGTACACGGATAGTGGCAGTGTTGTAGTTGAGTCACTAAACCTCACATCCTAGTCAAGTCTTGAGTCCCCCATGTTCAAGTCAACTCTGAGTCACCAAAGAATAGTCAGAGTTGAATCCGAGTTGAGTCCCGTTACCCGAGTCCAAGTCTACATAGAAGTGAACAATTTGAATATCAGTATCTTGTACCAAATTATTATGGCCTATTACAGTAAAATGATGCCCTAGTCCTGGTCTCCATCTTCCTAGTCTGAATGCAGTCAATGCTTGAGTTCAAGTTGAAGTCTGAGTCATCAGTGATCAAATCCAAGTTGAGTCAGGAGTGAGTTGAGTCTGGCTCGAGTCCAAGCCCAGGACTCAAGTACAGCACAGTGGATGCGCACATACTTCTTTACACACTACAGCTGGGGGTACGCATTGTTATGTTTCCATTATCTTGCCCCACCTCTCTTTCTCTTCGGACATGATCGTTTCTTCTTGAACTTTTTGTCATTTTTACCATTCCTCCTT